TCCTTTGCAGGCAAAGTACATTGACAAGTTTTTCACATATTCCCTAAATACACTTTGAAAGCAACATGAACAAAAGAATAATTTGTCTGACCAGTTCTGATGACAATTAAAATCAGAAGGAATATATTACATCAAAAATGCATCTATAATCCAACATAATCTGATCACAATCCTGAGTAACTGATTTTTGATGAACATTACCTTTAAAATAGAAACACTTTCTGGATAAGGTTTTAAACATAGAATAAACTAATAGAATAGAAAGGAACCTGTGTAAGAAACACGAAAACTTTGTTTCATGTGATGAAAATATCAGACACTGAAGTTCACAGAAAGTGAATATATGCAAATCAGATTTAAGAAAAAGACTTAAAAACTAAGCTAGCTCTTTTTTTTTTTTTTTTTTTTTAAGATTCTATTTATTTGCTCACGAGGGACACAGAGTGAGAGGCAGAAGAAGCAGGCTCCCTCTGAGGAGCCTGATGTGACTCGATCCCAGGACTACAGGATCACGATCTGAGCCAAAAGCAGATGCTCAATCACTGAGCCATCCAGTTGCCCCTAAATTACCTATTTCAGGGATCCCTGGGTGGCGCAGCGGTTTGGCGCCTGCCTTTGGCCCAGGGCGCGATCCTGGAGACCCGGGATCGAATCCCACGTCAGGCTCCCGGTGCATGGAGCCTGCTTCTCCCTCTGCCTGTGTCTCTGCCCCCCTCTCTCTCTCTCTGTGTGACTATCATAAATAAATAAAAATTAAAAAAAAAATTACCTATTTCAAAGAACTCTAGGTTAAATTCTATCAAAAGGGAGAAATATTTTGTACAGTACTCACTTTCTAATTAAGTTCGTAGGTAAAATTTAACCTTAATACCTTGAGCTTCCTTTATGTGAAACATCACTAAATTTTAAAAGTTGCCTTTATTCTACAGTTTAAAGAGTGTGAAGCCAAGGTCAATTATCCCTGTGGGGGATTGTTTAGCTTTGCACGAAAGACTCAGAGTAAATTTTATGGTTATGTGCACTACATTACCAAAAAAAGATGTTAAAAAGACAGACTCGGGGCACCTGGGTGGTGCAGTTGGTTGAAGGTCTGACTTGTGGTTTCAGCTCAGGTTGTGATTTCAGAGCCCTGAGACCAAGCCCCAAGTCAGGCTCCACACTCAGTGAGGAGTCTGCTTGAGATTCTATCTTCCTCTCCTGTTTGTGCTTTATCTTGTTCTCTTAAATAAAGTCTTTAAAAAACAAAAAACAACAAAACCCCAGACAGACTCAGGGCATTAGATGCAGGAGTCCCTGAAAATAGTACCAAATCCTGTGACAGAATAACAGGAAAAAGAGCAATTATGGCTCATCAGAATTCCAGGAAAAAAGGGAGCCACACCATCTATCACAGTATCAAACCATGTATCATATTATCATTTTACTAACTTAGACCCATCCAATAAGTTTAAAAGCAAAAAGCTGTTAATGAAGATATTTTTAAGCTATCTACAGAGAGATCACTATACAAACTTTAACAAGTCTCAGAAAATATAAAAAGTATTTTTGGCTAATTTTTTCCCAAATCTGAAAATAAAAGGGAAAAAAAGATGACCTATAGATCCCTTTTCAAAAAGGAACACTAATAAAAAATTAAAGGTAAGTTGTAAATCTCACTTCTATTAAGAGGTTCTGGTTAATGTTTAAATTTTGAAACCACCTTTGGCCTGCGTTCAGTTAATATGGCATGATAAAGTTTACCAAAAAAATTATTCATTAAGTAATTACTCCATAATCATCCCTATACCAGCCTATCAGTTCATGTGTCTTAATAACAAATACACTCACAATCCAATCAACACTTTCCTTTGTTGGGTTTAATTTTGACTTTGTGTCTATTGCCCCTTATGCCGATATCTTTCCTTCTGTTTAATTCTTAGCCTAATAGATTTTTAAAATCTCAGTAGCTAAGAAATAAAGTTCAAGAAGTCTGAAAAAAATAAATTAGAGGGTTATTTGTAAATGTAAATGATCTATAACTCCCAGTGTTGCCCTAAAACACTAAATATTAACATTTGCAATATCCTAAACCCAGTGAACGTTTATGAGAAATTCAAGAATCAGCTTAACTTTTTTAAGATTTTATTTTAGAGAGAGAGAGAGATGAGAGTGGGTGCGCACATGTGCGCGAGCGAGGGAAGGGGCAGAGGCAGCAGCAGACTCCTCTCGCTGCTGAGTAGGGAGTCAGATGCTGGCTCAATCTCAGGACCCTGATATCATGACCTGAGCATAAGTCAGATGCTTTAACCCACTTAGCCGCTCAAGTGTCCCTCAGTTTTATTATTTAAAGCTGGAAATAAGGGATAAAAGAAAAACCTAAATTTTACTGAAAGAAAAAAGCAAACAGAATTTGAGGTCAAGGATTCTCACTCTAACCTGAAATTATTAGTGGAAGGATAGTGGGTGGCTCAGCAGTTGAGCTTCTGTCTTTGGCTCAGCATGTGATCCCATAGTCCCGGGATCAGGACTTCCTGCATGGAGCCTGCATCTCCCTCTGCCTATGTCTCTCTGCCTCTCTCTGTGTCTCTCATGAATAAATAATAAAAAAAAAAAATTGTTAGTGGAAAACTTCTACAGATTACCAGTCATTCTTCAAAGGCAAAGACGATTTTTCTAATTTTTTTTTAAATTTCTTATTTATTTATGATAGGCACACAGTGAGAGAGTGAGAGAGAGAGAGAGAGAGAGAGGCAGAGACACAGGCAGAGGGAGAAGCAGGCTCCATGCACCGGATGCCCGACGTGGGATTCGATCCCGGGTCTCCAGGATCGCGCCCTGGGCCAAAGGCAAGCGCCAAACCGCTGCGCCACCCAGGGATCCCCGATTTTTCTAAATTTCTATATGAGGCTGCTTCAACCTATTATCTCTTCGTTTGCATCAACATAGATGGAACTAGAGGGTATAATGCACAGTGAAATAAGTCAATCAGAGAAAGACAATTATCATATGGTTTCACTCATATATGAAATATAAGAAATGCTGAAAGGGACCATAATGGAAGGGAGGGAAACTGAGCGGGTAAAAATTAGAAAGACAATCCATCAAAGACTCCTAACTCTGGGAAACAAAGGGTTGCAGAAGGGCAGGTGGGTGGAGAGATATGGTAACTGGGTGACAGGCATTAAGGAGGGCATGTGATAAGTGCTGAGCATTATACTGTATGTTGGCAAATTGAATTTAAGTAAAAAAAAGTATGCTGTTTTACCTTCACTTGATGATGTCAGCATGTAGCTGTAAACATGTTTTTAAACTTAATATACAAAGCAACTGCCATCAGTTAGGCTCTCACTGAATAGCACTAAAGGAAAACTCTTGCATTTATGGATGAAAGAACTAAAAGCTTACAAAGTAGTTACTGTGCTATATACCGTGTTAGCAATAAGACTGGGACACACCAATGACACTCTCTCGAACTTTCACTGTTTAAAGAAATCTCCACGTTTATATGCTGGTATTCTGAACTTGACAATGTTTCAAGAATAGTAACATCGACATAAACACTATCCATGCATTTCCAGGAAAAACGAAATTTCCAGGTAGATTCTTCCTTGTTTGTACATGTTTGCCTGCTGCAATGTAAAAAAGGATTTTAGTTCTTTGTAAGATTTGCGAATTACTCAGCACCTTCACTGAACTTGAAAGACTGAAAAGGAAGAAAAAAAAAAAAAGAGGCCAATCATCACTTTTCTATTTTTGTAATGATGAATAAAAGTTGAAAAGTAGTAGTACAGAGACTAAACAGGCCTTATTCACACGGAGATTGCTCAGTTTTACTGTCAACGTCTCTTGAACCTTAATCTTTCCCACGAGATCAACTGTGCAAATAGAAAGTTGTAGTCTGTAGTTGGGAAAGCTACACCCACGATTAGTGTACCAACACAATCTTTTTTATTTTTTATTTTTTGATTTTTTTGATTACCAGCACATTTTTTGAAATACTGTTCCACTGATTTACGGCACGCTTTTCTTACAAAAAAAAAAAAAAAAACTTCCAGCCCATCATTCGGTAACAAGTAAAAAAACGCTCTAGCATCAAGGCACATCACACACACACACACACACACACACACACACGGAGGAAACTGCCAAGCGCCTGGCACTATACACCACTATCCCCCATAAGGTCACAAAACGAGTAGGTCAAAGGGGGGGTGAGGGGGGGCAGATTCTAATCCAGGCGCTCCGAATCCAAATCCAGGCTTCTTTACTCGAAACAAAAACCAAGACGTATAAGTCAACGTTAGCTGCAGTTGTTAGATTGCTAACAGCTAAGCGCTCGCGGCACCTGCGCTCTACCCGGGCTTGCTGCGGGGGGGGGGGGGGGGGACGAGCAAGACACAGGCTTTCTCATTCCCCTCCTTGCTCGCAGTTTGATAGGCACGAATTTGAAATGTCCTTACCGGCCAGGGCTCGTCGGATCCCTCGATGTCCTTGGAAGTAAAGGCGACATAAAAACCAAGAACACTCATTTCTCGGGAGACTCCCCCCACCCCACCCCCCAAAAAAATCCCAAAGAACCGTCTTTAAGTTACTTAAGATCACAGTGACGGAAGAAGTTGTTTGGAAAGAGTCGCCCCAACAGTTAAAGCACAAGACCCACAGTCAACCTGGGGGGGGGGGGGGAGAGAGAGAGAGAGAGAGAGAGAGAGAGAGAGAGAGAGAGAGAGAGAGAGACGGGCGATGGAGTACACGAAATCTGGCCGAGCAGGTGCGGCTCGGCGGCCGCTCGCGCCGGGAGGGGCCAGGCCACCGGCCCCCTCCCCGCTCCCCTCCCGGCTCCCCGGCCGCGGCCCCCGACGGAGCGAGGGAGGGAGGGAGGGAAGGAGGACTCCTAACTGCGCCCCCCAGCGCTCGCCGGCCTCCCAGCCGAGCCGAGCCGGGACCCGCCGAGCCGCGGGGGCGGTGAGCATCCCTCCGCCCAGACACCGCGACTCTCGGCGCCGGGCGGCCGAAGCACTCACCCCACTTCTCCGAGCCCCGGGCCGCGCCCCTAACGAGGCCGCTGAAGCTCCGGCTGAACGCCTAATCTCTCCATTGTGGGCTCCGGTAGACCAGGAGGTGGGCAACGGGGCGCGGGGAACAGCGACCAGGGGCAGGGCCGACACCGCGCTCCCTCCGTCTCCGCGTCCCCAAACCCCCGCGGAGCTGACACATCAACAAAGATGGCGGCGACGCCGAAGCCGGCCCCGCTACAGCTGAGGGGGCGGGGCTCCCCGGAGGAGCCAATCGGCGAGTCGCGGGCGGTGTGACGCAACGCACCTTCGGTGGGCGGGGCCAGGGCGGCGCCGCCTCCTGCCCCCGGAGTCCCCAGCCCCGCGCTCGGACGCGCTGGGCATCCACGCCCGGGCGGACCTGGCTCGCGGGCGATCCTGCCAGTCCTGTCCTGTCTCTCCCGCCCCAAGCCAGGACGCTCTCATTGGCTAGAAGCCCACCTCACCCTTGACCCCTCTCGTATTAGTCAGGGGCATAAAGCAATAAAAGAATTCGAAATTGTGACTTCCTTGCTCCGATGCGCAAACCTTGCACCTGACCTAGGCGGCATCAGCAGGAGCAGTTTACCTGGTCGCCTGACAGTTCATCCCTGGGACAGCTTCTGAGGGTTTCCATAACACCGCGTTCCTGTCTACAGCCTGACGCCCACTGCCATTGTTTAATAATAAACTATTCGTGCATTCGTCTCTGGCACCAGACTTGTGAGAGCCTTGAGCGCAGGAAGTGTCCTCGCCTGGTTGGGTGTGATCCTGGAGACCCGGGGTCGAATCCCGCATCGGGATCCCTGCACGGAGCCTGCTTCTCCCTCTGCCTGTGTCTCTGCCTCTCTCCCTCTCTGTGTGTCTCTCATGATCAAATAAATAGAATCTTAAAAAAAAAAAAAAAAAGGATGGGGACTGACATGCAGGAGCTGCTCAATAATTACCAACAAAAAGTGTATTGCATACGGTTGCCTGATCGGGTTTCAGTCTGTGAGGGTTTTGCAAATCTGCGCTGTCCAGTGGTGATGTTCTCTGGTTTAGGGCTTCCTACTCACAACTCATGAGTGAAAATAGTAATTCTGTCAAGTTGTCAACGTGAGAGTTTGTAAAGCAAAGCTTGTTCCTGTTATGTGAAGCTTCTTTGATACCAACTGCTGGGAGAAAAAAAATCACTAGAAAAGTTCAACATTGTGTAACTTTGTTCCTCTTTCCTTTTCAACAGGAAATCGCGCCTCCCTCCTTAAATGAAAATACTGCAGTAAAACACACTTTGCAGTTAAAAGTGTTTTTGACGGTGAAGAAATGATTTGACTTTAAATTTGATCAAACATTCCCTGTGAGATATATTATTCCAAGGGGGGGGGAGTAAGCCTTTTTCTCAACTCATAGTTTCAGTAATAACATCCTTATTGTTATTTTTAAAATATATATATATTAGTATAAGCATATAAGTATTTATGGTTCTGGGAACCAAGATTTTCAGTATTAGATAAAGGAAATATAAATACAAAATCAAACAAGTTAAGTAAAAATTCTGAAACCCTAAATTTGAATTTAGAAATATCAGCATGAACTCATGGTCCTTTTTTTTCTTTTTAAAGATTTTATTTATTTATTCATGAGAGACACAGAGAGAGAGAGAGAGAGAGAGAGAGAGGCAGAGACACAGGCAGAGGGAGAAGCAGGCTCCATGCAGGGAGCCCCATGTGGGACTTAAACCTGGGTATCCGGGATCCTACCCTGGGCCCAAGGCAAGTGCTCAAATGCTGAGCCACTCAGGTGTCCCATACTTTTTTTTAAATTAGAAGTCTGTCCACTGAAAAGACCTGGAATATCATTCAACATAATGCACATCCTTTTCTCCATCATTTCTAAGTATGTTTTCCCACAAAAAGTCACTTGGACTCCCCTTGTAAAATCAAGGGCAGATTCTTAGTCTGGGGCAGGAAAGGTGCAAGAAAATCTAAGACATGTTGGTTGTAGCAGAAAGCAAAGAAGAAAAATAATAGTTGTGTCAAAGACTCAGGAGCCAATTCAAAAGTGTGCCCACCGGCCAAAAGACAATATAGCATTAAAAAAATAATAGCAATTGAGACTCCTCTACTATGTCAAAAATTAATGTGTATTGGGATTCCCTGGGTGGCTCAGCGGTTTGGCGCCAGCCTTTGGCCCAGGGCGTGATCCTGGAGTCCTGGAATCAAGTCCCACATCAGGCTCCCTACATGGAGCCTGCTTCTCCCTCTGCCTGTGTCTCTGCCTCTCTCTCTCTCTCTCTCTCTCTCTCTCTTTCTCTGTCTCTCAGGAATAAATAAATAAATAAAATCTTTAAAAAAATTAATGTGTATTGATTTTTCAAAACATCATTGGTCACCTTGGGAGGATGCCAAAGAATCATCACAGTCGGGATCCCTGGGTGGCGCAGCGGTTTAGCGCCTGCCTTTGGCTCAGGGCGCGATCCTGGAGGCCCGGGATCGAATCCCACGTCGGCTCCCGGTGCATGGAGCCTGCTGCTTCTCCCTCTGCCTGCTGTGTCTCTGCCTCTCTCTCTCTGACTATCATAAATAATAAATAAAAATTTAAAAAAAGAATCATCACTGTCTGAAAAGTAAAAGAATCAAGTATCATAACTTTCTGTTACAAACTGAATGTCACTCGGAAAGTCAATGTGGAAAGGTTATTTAAAGAATTCCAGGGAACCCTGGGTGGCGCAGCGGTTTGGTGCCTGCCTTTGGCCCAGGACGCGATCCTGGAGACCCGGGATCGAATCCCACGTCGGGCTCCCAGTGTATGGAGCCTGCTTCTCCCTATGTCTCTGCCTTTCTCTCTCTCTCTCTCTCTCTCTCTCTCTCTCTCTCTCTCTCTATCATAAATAAAAAAAAATTAAAAAAAGTCTTTAAAAAAAAAAGAATTCCAGATAATAAATACAGAATATAGACTACCAGGTATTTGCAACCCCTTTGAAATAATGGATCTAGGATCGAAAGGATCCGACTGTGGCATTGTAAATGTCAATATCCCAACGAGTGGGGCTGAGATTGGAGGTGCATTTGGAGGAGAAAAGCACACTGGTGGTGGTCGGGAGTCCGGGAGTGATGCCTGGAAACAGTACATGGAAAGATCCACTTGTACTATCAACTACAGTAAGGACCTTCCTCTGGCTCAAGGAATCAAGTTTCAATAAAGGTGACGGTAAATCAGCATTACTTCAGGTCTTCTAGGCATTCTTGCAGTTCTTTGTTCTGAAGAAGACGAAGAAAATTAAGATTTGCCCTGAATAAATGCATCATTTTGATTTTAAAAAAAAGGATCATCAGAGAGTCTAGAATCATTAGACAAAAAGCCAGTGGAAAACTTTATAATGGATTAATGGGGCTGACAACACTGGAACCTGTTAGATGAATTTTAATAATTCCCCAAAGAGAAACAATGAGATATTAAGTATCTTCTGATGTGAAGCACTGGAGGAACACAATACCACCTGTGAAGTATTCTTGCCACAGGGGATATGCTCAAAATTTAAGAAAAACTGCCATTACTTCAACATATAAATTGTAAGAACGGGATTAAAAGGAAATCTCTTTTTAAAATACATCACTGAGGGATCCCTGGGTGGTGCAGCGGTTTGGCACCTGCCTTTGGCCCAGGGCGCGATCCTGGAGACCCGGAATCGAATCCCACGTCGGGCTCCCAGTGCATGGAGCCTGCTTCTCCCTCTGCGTATGTCTCTGCCTCTCTCTCTCTCTCTCTCTCTCTCTCTGTGTGTGTGTGTGTGTGACTATCATAAATAAAAATTAAAAAGAAAAAAAATAAAATAAAATACATCACTGAATACAAAATAGGATCTTGCTTGGAGCCTGACTTGAGCATACCAATTATTAAAAATCATCTGAGACTCTGGAAATTTTAAATATTAATGATATTAAGAAATTGTTAAAGGTGGAATAAGTTTTTTTTGGAATAAGTTTTGATGATGTTTTTTAAAGTTATGATCTTTGAAAGATACATATGTATAGAGATACAATGTCCCCAAAAGTAAAAGTGACTAAAAAAAACCCAAATAAATAAAAATAACCCCACATTGATGGGAATATGTCAAAGGATAACAAGAGCCAACTAAAAGAGCTCCCAATGGCCAAAGTTGGAAAAATTTGAGCAAGAAAATAAGGTAGTGTTGGATTACAACCCAAAGCATAAAATAAACACCAGTTCATACTAATATATTTACAGTATATATGGTCATATATATAACGGAGAAGAGACAAATCTCCCATGCAAACAAATCTGAAATAATTCTAATATCCGGCCCTCAAAGAGGGGGAGCATAACTTCTTTCTTAGGTGTAAACTGTGTTTAATGACTTCCTACCAAAGTATACAATAAGCAAAGGGAGGGAAAACGCAACTAATTTTAGAAACTGAAGAACACCAGTCAGGTGGTGGTGTCTTGAGCATGTTTTAAAGGTGTGTGTAAAAAAAAAAAAAATTAAAAAAATAAAAAAATAAAGATGTGTGTAAAAGTTGTGTCTTTTGTGTTGTGACTTTGTGTCATTGTGTCCACAATGTCAGCTTTATTCAATCATAAAATACGGTTAGTACAATAGCAAGCAGGTTCAGGATTCTAAACTCAATGACATTTCACTATGTATTTAACTTGGCTTCATATACATTACACAAAGTACAATACAAAGTTATGCAACAAACAAGATACAATAAGGGTAAGAAGTTAATGAAACAAAGCAAGTCAGTCTGTGAGCACAGTTAAGATGAGGACTTGGTCAGGTGTGGGCCAGCTCTAGGCACTTACTGCTTAATGTTTAAAAAGTGGAGGAGCTTTATTATGTTGGGAGATCAATCAGGCAGTCTTTAGCAGCAGTTGCCTTTTGATGTGGTCAGATGAGGAAGGGTCAGCGCTCAGAGTCTGGCAGTTTGCTGCAGAAATCCTCCCTTTTTACAGTTTGTTTATTTATGTATTTATTACTTTTTTTTCCTTTTTACAGTTTAATCAGTCTTGAGCTTTGCAGGCCTCTTTTGGTTCTAGTGATTATCAGCTCCTAGTTCTTCCAGGCCTTATGGGTTATTAGTCCTTAGTACTCCCCGTCTATACTAGTTTTGGTGATATCTGGACATAGTTGCTTTTCTGATATGTCACTACTTGACACGAGGGACACCATCTTGCTCCCTACAGGTGGAAAACATCAACTGTCATGAATCATGTACTTGATACGGTGCTATACAGATGGCACTTTACCTCTATAGCCTTCCTTCCAAAACCCTTACCTCCAGTCTTATGAGAAAAACCTCAAACTCCAACAGTGGGGCATCTTACAAAATACCTGACAAGTATTTCTGGAATCTATCAAGATCATCAAAACAGGGAAAGTCTGAAAAACTGCCATAGCCAAGAAAAGCCTAAGGAGACATGACAATTAAATGTAATAATGTGGTATCCTGAATGGAATTCTGGCTCAGGAGAACAATAGGTAAAGCCTCCGGAAATCTACATAAACTCTGGACTTTAGTAATAATGTATCAATATTGGTTCCTTCGTCGTAGTTAATGTATCCTACTAATGAAATATGAATAACAGAGGAACCTGGGTGTGGTTAATGTGGGGAAACTCTGCGCCCTCTTCTCAATTTATTCTGTGAATCTAATACTGTTCTTAAAAAAAAAAATCTATTACAAAGAAAAAAAGATGCAGGCCAGAAATTGCTTCCGAACAACGGGAACAACGTGTTTTGAGGTACAGACGCGAGCAAGACTGATGCTGGTGAATTGACAATGTTGAAATTAGGTGATAAGTTTTTCTCTTGACTTTGAAAGTTTCCTAGTCCAAAGAAAAGAAAGGGAAGGGGAAGGGAAGGAGAAAAGAAAGGAAAGAGAAGAGAAGAGAAGAGAAGAGAAGAGAAGAGAAGGAAGAAAGGAAGAAAAGAAATGAAGGAAGGAAGGAAGAAAGAAAGAAAAGAAAGAAAGAAAGAAAGAGAAAGAAAGAAAAAGAAAGAAAGAAAGAAAGAAAAAGAAAGAAAGAAAAGTTAGTTTTACAAATATTTGAGCAGCATCAACATAGAACCAGGTGCCCGTAGTCAGGGGGGAAAAGTGATCACCTGTGCTTAGTTTCCAGGCGGAGGTAGATCAATCTGGAAAGCCTCGTAAGATGTTAAGCGGTTAATGCAACCCAAGTGACCACTGCAGAGAGTCTGCGTCTTTGCGCTCAAAACTCGCCCCGGCATCCGCAGGGCCACCTACCGGGGAGCAGCCCGGAGAGCTCTACGCTCCGTTCTCTGGGCGGAGGAACTCGGCGAGCGCGCAGCCCTGGGGCACGGCGCGGAGGCCGCAGCGCGCGGAGGGCGCGCGAGGGCATCGCAGGGCGCACGTGGGCGCGGAGTGCGCAGGCGCAGCGCTGGCGCGGGGCTGGCCATTGGAGGCGAGGTGAGCGCGGGGAGCGCCTCCGGCCGGCGAGGCTGCAGGGCCCGGGGCGGGCGCCACCACGGCGGGGCTGCGGAGGCGGCTCGGGGCCAGCGGCCCTCCAGCCTCTAACCAGGTCAGGGTTCCTAGGCGCGTGGGGCGCGTGGGGCGCGGGGAGTGGAAGGGGCTGCGTGAGGGCTGCGGGGCTTCGGTCGTTGGGCGCCAGACGTTGGGCGCCGGACGTTGGGGTCGGGCGTTGGGGTCGGGCGTTGAGCGGGCACCGGGGGCCTGGAAGTGGGAGACAGGATGGAAGGGTGGAGGAGCCCTTGGAGCCGAGCCGGGGCTGGGAAGGGCAGGCCTAGGGCTGGAGGTTGTGGTGGGGGAGGGGCGAAAGGAAAAAGAACTGAGCCCCCTGGGCCTGGGGGCGGGGGGGGGGGGCTGTCGCAGGTTTGGAAAATATTTTGTACTTCCAGGCATGACTTTGCAAAGTGTGAACGTCCGCTGGCATCCCAACAGAGGAGCTCTTTGCTCTCTTGTCCCTGAAAGAAACTAGTTTGTGGATTCGGTCAGTGCTTGCGTTTTAACTCAGAGCTGCAGTGCAGACAACACTAACACTTAATAGTGTCCTTAACTTCCTACCTTCTGTGGGAAAGGCAGGTGCAGCACGGCTTTAGCTAGATACGGTAAGCCGGCTCTGGTTCATTTTGCAAGTGTTTGTAGCGTGTCTGCTGCTGTGTGCCAGTCGGATTTTTTTATTTGGGTTCCTGCTATAAACATGCTGGCCCTGTTTGGCCTCTGGAGTAGGAGAGGATGCTTCTAGTTCCCTTGTTGAGTCCTCCAGGTACTGCATGGGAAAGGACCTGGATTTTTCAGCTCAGCTGTGCAAGAGCGCTCGCCCTGGTGGGGTTTGGCAAGTTCCTCCACCTGCTCAGGTCTCACTTATGTGGACGAATAAAGGAAATAGGAATATTTTATTTTTTATTATTATTTTTTCAGGAATACTTTAATCCTCATTATTTCAGTGTGCCAAAGTAGTTACACATGAGTGGAGGAGATTCTTTGTGGGAATGGCATAAAAGTAAAGTTTGAAATGCTAGCTGCCTCTTAAGAACTTAGTAAGCACCAGCTGCTGTGCTAAGTAGATTACATACATTCTTGAATTTAATCATCACAGTTAAGTGTTATGAGGAAGTTACTAAGATTGGGCCGCATTTTACAGAAACTCAAACCGAGAAAGATGAAGGGTTTTTTTTTTTTGTTTTTTTGTTTGTTTGTTTTGCCTCAGATAACATAGCTGAATGAGGAAGATGAGACTCTGCTTACATTTGGGTATGACCCATTTTAAAGCTCACGTGTTGCTGAACCTTTGAGCTCCATAGCTTTAAAACTGAATGCTTCCGTAGGTGTGGGGTTTGGTAAGTTCTTTATAGATCTTGGATAGCAGCCCCATATCTGATAAAGCATTTGCAAATATCTTTTCCCATTCTTGTTTTTTTCGATTATTTCTTTTGCTGTGCAAAAAGCTTTTTATCTTAAAAGATAAATGAACTTTTGGACTTAGTTTATTTCTGCCTCTGTTTCCCTTGCCTTTGGAGACGTATCTAGTAAGTTGCTGTGGCTCACGTCACAGAGATTGCTGCCTGTGTTCTGTAGGATTTTGAAGATTCCTATCTCACATTTGTCTTTCATGCATTTTGAGCCTATTTTTGTGTATGCAGTTTCATCCTGCATGTGGCTGTCCAATTTTTCCAACACCGTTTGTTGAAGAGACCATCTTTTTTCCTTTGGATATTCTTTCCTGTTTTGTCGAAGATGAGTTGACCATAGAGTTGAGGGTCCATTTCTGGGTTCTCATTCTGTTTCATTGGTTTTAAGAAGTTTCTTTTTTTTTTTTTTTAAAGATTTTTATTTATTTATTCAGTCAGAGAGCGAGAGAGAGAGGCAGAGACACAGGCAGAGGGAGAAGCAGGATCCATGCAGGAAGCCTGACGCGGGACTCGATCCCAGGTCTCCAGGATCACACCCCGAGTTGCGGGCGGCGCTAAACCGCTGCGCCACCAGGGCTGCCCTGTTTCATTGGTTTATGTGTCTGTTTTTGTGCCAGGACCATACTGTGTTGATGATTACAGCTTTGTAATGTAGCTTGAAGTCTGCAATATAGTTTGTGATGCATCCAGCTTTGGTTTTCTTTTTCAACATTCCTTTGGCTATTCGGAATCTTTTCTGGTTCCATAAAAATTTTAGGATAATTTGTTCAGCTCTGGGAAAAATGTTAATGGTATTTTGATAGGAATTGCATTGAATGTGTAGATTGCTCTAGGTAGATATTTGTTATTCCAATCCATGAGCATGGAACGTTTTTCCATTTCTTTGGGTCTTCCTCAATTTCTCTAATAAGTGTTCTATAGTTTTCAGAGTACAGATCCTTTACCTCTTCGGTTAGCAGCAATGTCCACAATAGCAAACTATGGAAAGAGCCCAGATGTCCATTGACATTTGAATGGATAAAGAAGATGTGGGAGGTGTGCGTGTGTATGTATATACATATATATATGCAGTGGAATATTAGCCATCAAAAAAAGAAATCCTGCCATTTACAATGATATGGATCAAACTACAGGGTATTATGTTAGTGAAATAAGTGAATCAGAGAAAAATAATTATGCTTTCACTCATGTGGAATTTAGGAAACAGAAGAGGAGCATAGGTGAAGGGAGGGGGAAAAATAGAACAAGGTGAAATCAAAGAGGGAGATAAACCATAAGAGACCCTGAACCATAGGAAGCAAACTGAGGATTGCCAGGTTGTTAGGGGGATGAGGTAACTGGGTGATGGGCGTTAAGGAGGGCACGTGATATAATGAGAGCTGGGTGTTATATGCAACTGATGAATCACTGAACTCTACCTCTGAAACTAATAATACACTATATGTTAATTGAATTTAAATAAAAAAATAAAAACCTCAATGAACTGAATGTTTCCTTTGAGTAGCCATTCTCACTGAATGCGTGTGGTTACCAGAAAAACAAAAACAAACATTAGAGAAGAAAAAAAAAATCATAGCTAAGTGTCTGCTGCAAGTACTTTTGGTAGTAAAAGAATTAACTCACCGTGGTAAAAATTAACTTTAGCTTCTAGTCTTCTGGGAAAGAAGGAGAAGGCTTACAGTCACTGGTTGCAGGTGTATCCTGGGATGCTTTTGACCAGATGGAGGAGGGGTAACAGGATTCCAAGGGAGTAAAAGACAGGGCTTGCCCCTTAGCTTCCTGTTTTGTTGGTGTCAAATCATGAAGCACAGAACAAAAGTCAAGACCTTATTTTTGCCTGTAGAACTATGATAGTTACTTCCATTCCACTGGTCTTTTATTACATCAGTGATTCCTTTAACATGAAGAAATTTGGGGACCCTCCTAATTAACCTCTTATGTTAAATATCTAATCATTGTGGATATGGGAATAAGTATTCATCACCAGCAGCATGTAAAAAATAGTAGATTGTATATGGGGGAACTGTTTTAAAACTGAGTAGGATTAGCCTATGAGGTATCATGACTCTTGCAGCAATGTCTGTAACACCCCTATACCTGTATACCAGAAGGAAGCAGACCAAGGTGGGAAAGCACAGCATTATGGAATAGTGTCTGCCCATTCCAGATTCAGATATGCCCAGTGGCTGACATAGGATAAAGCCAAGCAGGGACCATTTCAATTTCTTACAGGTGTTTAATGTTGAAATACATTTTAGAATTCAGAGGACTGTAAATCAAAAGAAAGGCCATTTTTATGTGATAACACATTTTAAAATTCCAAAAGAGGGGTGTGATCCTGGAGACCCGGGATTGAGTCCCACGTCAGGTTCCCTGCATGGAGCCTGCTCCTCCCTCTGCCTGTGTCTCTGCCTCTCTCTCTGTATCTCTCATGAATAAATAAATAAAATCTTAAAAAAAAAATTCCAAAAGATGTTAGGTTAACTGCAAGTTTTACGTATACTCACAGTAGTCCTGGCTGCTATTCCAGAAGCTGGTACATAAGGGAAATAGTGTTCAAAGTAAGGGGTAGTATAATGATTATTCCGGTCAGCTGTTGGCTCACATCTGCAGTCCAGTGTTCAGTTAGGAGAAGGATGTCTATCTATGTGAGGGTTTCTAATGAACTAGAGAAAGTCCAGACTTGCGAGGACTCTCAAAGATGTTTATAACAGCTGGTGAAGGACCTGGAACAAAGTGGAAATGGTAGATATCTCAGATATTTGAAAGGTTATGGTTACAGGGCAGCAACAGGAGTCAGTCAATTGGGAAGTGAACCATTTTATAAAAATGCAGTACAGTTGGCTGTCTAAAATTGAAGTTATAAGCTTCTAGCTATAGAACAGGTCTACATGTCTGTTTGCCCTGGGCGTTGTAATGAAAATTCCTGAATAGGGTGAGGCAAGTGAGGTGTCTTTCTAACCTACATATTCCACTCTAGGTGGAGCTGCTTTTAAGCTTAAATCTTTATTTGGTGCTTAAACTTCTACATTGGGTTTAAGACTGATTTTGGTTTTTTTTCTGAGTCAAACTTATTTACTAATTTTTGGACTTTGGAGGAGTAGATGTAAGACTTGAAATTCTGCTATTAAATTGGAGAAAACCTCATAAGGTGATGTAATTCTGTATTTAAGATTGCCACATGTAACTTTAGACCATGAATTTCATTTTCACTCTCCAGATTGTCATGAAAACAGTGCAATAATGCACTTTAAATAGTTTCATGATATAATTATCTTTTTAATGCCTCATTGTACAAAACACTATGTTAGGTGCTATGGGAAACCAGGGTTTTTGTTGTTAATGTTTTTAGTAAGACCTGGTTCCTGCACAAGCTACTTAAAATCTAGCATGTAGACATAACTGTCTATGGCTATGATACAGGATAGAAAGCTGTGAATTGCCTTTCCATCAGCCTTACTGAATAAAGACAAAGGAAAGGCTATTTCAAGAGTTATGTGTTGAGGGTCCCAATGGTGTCTTGAAGAGGACCATACCCTAATTTTGTGTTTTTTTTTTTAAAAGATTTATTTATTTATTTATCATAGAGAGAGAGAGGCAGAGACACAGGCAGAGGGAGAAGCAGGCTCCATGCTGGGAGCCCAACGCGGGACTCGATCCCGGGACTCCAGGATCGCCCTGGGCCAAAGGCAGGCGCTAAACCGCTGAGCCACCCAGGAATCCCCCTAATTTTGTGGTTTTAATATTACTTAATCCTTTACTTGGTTTATTTTTTTAAAGATTTTATTTATTCATGAGAGATAAAGAGGTAGAATCATAGGCAGAGGGAGAAGCAGACTTCCTGTGGGGAGAGCCTGATGTGGGACTCCATCCCAGGGCCCCAGGATCACGACCTGAGCCAAAGGCAGAGGCTCAGCCACTGAGTCACCCAGGTGTCCCCTTTACTTGGTTTGAAATTAACAACACTTAAGGGAAAATAGCTTACTTTAAATGTTAATATTAATATTTTAGTCTTTAAAATGCCTTTTTCTATAAAAGTAATCTTTAAACACTTGGAAAATGAAAAAGACTGTAAAAAAGATTCATCAGCCTACTTACCCATTAACACTCGTCATTATTTAAAATTTAATGTATTTCATTGATCTTACTTATTACATGGAGAGGTTTTTCTTTTTTGCAGTTATTCTGAAAGTAGTGTTTCTGATTTTCTTCATTTCTATTCTAACATATTGTATAATTTTGGAAACTAGGATTCTAAATGGTAGTGTTAATATTCTCTCTGGTAGAGAGATCACAGTTAACCTTTTTCTTCACAATTTTTCTTTTACTATATTAAATAGGATCTTTAGATGTTCAGGATTATTATTATTTTTGATGAGGGGCAGGGTGGAGGGCAGAGGGACAGGGAGAGAGAGAATCTTAAGTAGGCTTCATGCCCCAGGAGCTCCATCTCACAACCCTGAGATCATGACCTGAGCGGAAATCAAGAGTTGGACACTTAACCAACCAAGCCACCCAGGCACCCCGATTTTAATGGGATGATTTCTAGATGTAGAGTTACCAGATGAGTGGCTAGGAACATTTTTAAGAATACACGAAAAACCTGGGTGACTGGGTGGCATGATCCGTTAAGTGTCCAACTCTTGGTTGCATCTCAGGTGGTGAGATCCAGCCCCTTGTCGAACTCCCTGTCAAGTGTGGGGTCTGCTTAAGGTTATCCCTCTCCCTCTGCCCTTTGTGTGCTGTCTCTCTCTCTCTCTTGTGCGCGCTCTCTCAAGAAAATAAAAAGAATACATGTATACCTTAAGTGTATATATCTATTGGGCCCCTAGGTGGCTCAGTCAGTCGAGTGTCTGCTTTTGGCTCAGGTCATGATCCCAGGGTCCTGGGATCTAGCCCTGCATCCTGCTTTTTGCTCCGTGAGGAGCCTGTTTCTCCCTCTCCCTGCTGTTCCTGCTGCTTGTGTGTACACATGTGCTCTCTAGCAAATAAACTTAAAATATATATATATATATAGACATGCAGATGTGTATGTGTATATCCAAACTGTCTTCCCATAAGAACATATTTATATTCCCTGCAATGAGTGTCCATTTTACTTTCCAAAGATTTTTATCTATTTTTTAAAGGTTTTATTTATTTGAGAGAGAAGGAGCATGAGCAGAGAGGAGCCGAGTGGAGCGGGAGAGGGAGAAGCAGGCTCCCTGGGAGCAGGGAGCCTGACTTGGGGCTCTATCCCAGGACCCGAGGATCATGACCTGAGCTGAAGGCAGATACTTAATCAACTAAGCCACCCAGGTGCCCCTTATCTATTTATTTGAAAGAGAACCTGTGCATGAGAGGGGTGGGAGGAGGAAGGGAGGGAGGGAGACAATCTCAAGCCAACTCTGCCCTGAACATGGAGCTCAACACAGGGCTCAATCTCATAACCCTGAGATCATGACCCGAGCTGAAATCAAGAGTTGGTCAGGTAACTGACTTTGCCGCCCAGGCTCCCTGATGGTGTCCTTCTTAATTACACTCATGCTGAGCAGAAAATAATAGTCATTTAATTTGAATTTTTTTTATTACAGATGATGTTGAATATTTTCCCCATATGTTTATCAAGTAATCTTCATGTTTTGTGCATTCTGTTCATGCCTCTTGCTCACACTTTAGTGGTATCTGTATCAATTGGGCTGCAAATAGCAGAAAACTTATGGGTTTATTTGATGCCACAGTGAGTCTATGCATAGACAGATCAGGGCTGGTGTAGCAACTCGAGGACACTGCCAGAGACATCAGGTGCTCTTTTTGGTTCTACTATCCTTAGGGTGTGCTCTCTTACTTTTTGTTTATTGCTTCCTGATTGTGTTACAGGAAGAAAGGGGTAAATGCAGCCAAAAATGTTCCTGTTCATCAGGAAAGGACAGAGCTTTCTGAGAAATTCAGCTCAGGAGAATTGATTATGGGCAGTATTGTCTCTAACTCAAGCTGCGAAATCAGAGGTAGAAGATGGCCTTTGGGTCACATAGTCTGCTATAGTATCTGAATGTTTTTACTATTTATCCTTCTTTTTAAAAAATTTGATACTGAATTTTCTGTCTTTTGTTAATCTTTATTTTCTGGCTTATTTGCTGTTTTTTTGTGATTTTTTTTTTGTTGTTTTCTGTAGTCATGTTTGATATTTCCTTTGTGATATTTTACCACTTAAAAAAAAAAAAACCCAAAACCCTTCACCCACTAATGTGGTTGTTGTATGTAGGCTGATTCTCTGGGAAACAAAACTTGAGATGGAGGTTTGTGTACTGTGGCAAGTGAATGTGTTTTGCATGGCATTAGTGTTTTTGGAGTTAGTTGAGGTGGCTTTTCTAGTCTAGTGTATGCCCAGTGTTGGAAAAATGAATGTTCTTGATTGTATTGGTCCCTACTAGATCAAGTTTATTGTGGTACTAAAATATCACCACTTGTTTTCTGTTGACAACTGTTAAGGCATGTGTGTCCTCACTGTGGACTGAATTTCTCTTTCGCTTTGTTTTATAGATCTGGGGACATTGGCTGCTCTCTCTCCTCCAGTAGTCATCAACGTAAAAAAAATCTTTGCCCCAATTGAGTTCTGTTTTATCAGTTATTAATATTAGTATTCCGGGATCCCTGGGTGGCGCAGCGGTTTGGCGCCTGCCTTTGGCCCAGGGCGCGATCCTGGGTCTCCAGGATCGCGCCCTGGGCCAAAGGCAGGCGCTAAACCGCTGTGCCACCCAGGGATCCCGAGAGTTCCATACCTTTGAGTGTGCCTGTGCATTTCTTTATTATTTCATTCTCTTTTCTGTATTGTCATGGATTAGGCTAGACCTAATTTAAATTGATAAATTAGAAGAAAATTTTAGGACACCAGGAAGAAGGATTTTTTGCTATTTGTTTATCTTTTATTTATTTATTTATTTATTTATTTATTTATGAATTAATTAATGAGAGAGACACAGGCAGAGGGAGAAGCAGACTCCATGCAGGGAGCCCGGTGTGGAACTCGATCTCGGGACTCCGGGACCACACTCTGGGCCGGAGGCAGACGCCCAACCGCTGAGCCACCTAGGCATCCCTGTCTTCCCTTTAAAACAATGTTAAATCACTTTTAGATACTACGTATTCCAGTTTAGCTCTCTGTGGCTCTTTTATTTTAATTTTTTTCCCCTGAGCAGTTTTGGGACAATAGGCAGTTTTACCTGCTGCCTACAGACAAAGCTGTAGGTCACAACCTCAGAAAAGTTGTTTGTCTGCTTTTATTACTTCCCTTGGGCAGGACACTTAGTATTCTTTAAGAGTAATAGAAAAACAAGCTGGCATAGGGTCTGGATAGAGGTTTCTCAAAGGCAATTTGTAACAATACATGTACCTTATTTTCAGAGAAAGGTGCATAAAGTTAGGTCTTTAAAAGCAGTAGCTACAAGTTATAATTTATGGAAGCTCAGCTGGAGATTATCAAAGCAAAGGACTTGGGAAAAACAGACCAAACAGAGGTCAGCTGAGGCAAACCCTAAGGGATGACTGGGAAGGAAGGAGTTTACCAGGCCAATGAGGAAGAGAGAGGGCACTGGGGAGCTGGATTCAGCGTATACAAGATCTTAGTGTTGAAAGTAGGAGTCGTAGAGGGATTCTGGAAGGCTAGAAAGGTAGGTGATGACCTGATGAAGACAATACCCTCTATTGTATTTCACCATTAAGTTGCATGCTCTGGGTTGGAAATATTTCTTTTAAAACATGAAAGTCCTTTTTTTTATTCCTGTTGTTTGAAAAGCTTTTTAAAGTAAAAAATGGTGTCGAACTCTGAGATTACTCTTTTGATGTCTCTTGAGTTAGCCTTTTGTCTGTGGTTGAATTGTGTGAAACTTGGGAGTTTATACTTACCAATAGAGAATCATTCTGTTTGTGTCTCTAGGCCAGGCTGTGATATCATGGTTACCTCTGCTTTGGAATTATTCATGAGCATTACTTGTTACATAAAAAGAAATCACCTGGGCCTGCAGTGCTTCTACTTTTGTCACTAAAAATTGCCTTTTAAATACACTTCTTCCCATAGACTTCTGTGAATGTTAAATTGCCACATAATATGATCTCAAGAAATAATTTGGAGGCATCTACGTGTAAAATGACAGAGCCATTTAATTTTGAGAAAAATGAAAACCAACTTCCAGCACCTGATTCTTTAAGAAGTCCTGGAGGACATGCTAACCACCCTAATTTCCGGTTGAAAAGCCCAGAGAATGGACATAAAAACAATTTTTTGCTTTGTGAGCAAACCAAACAGTATTTGGCTAGTCAAGAAGACAGTTCAGTATCTTCAAACCCTAACAGCATCAATGGAGAGGTGGTTGGATCCAAAGGAGATAGGAAGAAGTCAGCAGGTGAGTGAAAACTATAGGCTTACTAATTCTTGAGTCTGATAATTTCTTTGGCTTATTACAGGTATATGATCACACATCTGTGGGCTATTAACAGAACAACTAAATGGCTACCTTACAGTATTTGCATTTAAAGATTTAGAAAAGCCACATGCCAGATGGCTTCCTTTGACTAGTTTCATCACAAAAAGGATTTAGGAGAAGAGAATGTTTACAGATGAGCTTTCTCCCCACAGTGGGAGAACTAACTCTACTAGGGCTATAAAAAGGACATACTATGGCTTTTTAAAGATTGGCCGTATTTTAAAAATGTACAAATTATACGCATACAGTAGCTCACAAAGATATATTTAAGACGTTAAATTGTTTCATTAGATTTTTAAGAATTGTTCCTTTAGTCCTAATTCCAAAACCCTGGTTTTTAAGGAAGCTGGGCCTTCAGTGAATATATATATCAGATGGGATCTTTTAATGTAATGGTGATTGTAGTTCACGTGTTTGGCCCTTGGGCCTCTGGGGTTTCCCAAGAAAGGGGTCAAAACTGTTTTCCCAATAATATTAAAATATCATTGTGCTGACTTTACAGTGATGGTGCAGAAGCAAAGGTGAGTAAACCACTGATGCTTCATTAACTCCATTGTAGGTAGGGATACCTGCCTGGGCTAGTGGTCATTGGGTTTTTCATTGCTGTGAACTTGTAGTTAAGACAAAGCCAGAAATGCCTTTTTTAGGGATGTCCTTGACAGAACTCTAAGAATTATTACTAGATATTGATACTCGTTACAGTTTGGTATTTTGTGTAACACAGTGGGAATTACCCCTAACTTCTGCTTTATAGGCAAGTATGAAAAGCATGTGTGTGATTGAGCTGTGAGCTATATGGAAACTTTTTGTTGAAACATCATTTTTACTTGAAAAGAATGATAAAAGTTGGTTATTCAGATTTAGATATCTGGCATTCATTTTCTCAAAAATGAACAAAGGGAGGCTGTTACTTCAAGGAAAATACTTGATAGTATTCTGCCACTCCATAGGGACAGCTTTTCAATACTTAAACTTTTCTGGTGAGATGCAGTGGTGATCTTAACTAACACACATGATTTTTAAAATATTATATAATGAAATCTGTCCACATTTGGAAGATCTGCATAACTCAGAGTTTCTTAGTCTTTTCCAAATGACCAATGCAGGATGCATAGTCATGCATGGGTAAAAATCCACTCAAAGTGCAGGATAAATCAGTGGATTCCAGTGTCACATTATGAACAAGTCTTAGGTTTCACATTGCAACTACCAATTAAACTATCACTTGAGTTTTGGCATGATGTTAAAGGAAAATATCTGTAATTATCTGAGAAGGCCATTAAATACTTCTTTTTGCAACTACGTATCTGTGAGAGGCCAGATTTTATTCATATGCTTCAACAAAAGCAACACAGAGGATTGAATGCAAAAGCAGGTATGTGAACCAACTACCATTAGTTATACCTAAAGAAATGGGTAAAAACGTAAAACAATGATACTCAATTTTTTTTTTCTTTGGAAAATGTAGTTGTTTTAAAAACCATGTCAATGTAATGCATTTATTTTTAAATGTATTTAATTTTTAAAAGTTTAAAATTTATAATTTTAATTTGTTTTTAACATTTTGGGGGGCACAGAAGGAATGAGAAAATCTTAAGCAGGCTCCACACCTAGCACAGAGCCCCACACACGTTCAGTCTCAGGACCCCTAAAATCATGACCTGAGCTAATAAAATTGGGAGTTGGATGCTTAACTGACTGACCCACCCAGGTGGCCCTTAATTTCTAATATTAGTAAATATTTATAGACATAGACCATATAAATGAAATCTCTTTAAGGTTCTCAATTTCTAAGTGTATAAATGAGGCCAAGTTCAAAAAAGTCTGAGAACTTAGTGAATGGAGAAAAATTTACAGTAAGAGGAGTAGTAATTAAGTTTCAAACAAATCCTTATTTCTCATTAGGAAAATTAGGATGTTGCTTATTTCTAATGTAGGTTTAAGGCTATTTGGTATAGCTTTCTTATTTGAATATCTAATTACAGTATTATACATTTTCAGGAATAAAGTAATTTGCTTTTATATTTTCTCTCTTCAGGAAACTCAGTATCACCATTAAATGTTGGAAACAGTTCACCACCCAAAGAAGTAAGTAATGTAAGATTTTTGGTTTTTTTTTTTTTTTCTGTCTTGTGTTTTTGTTTGGGTAAAAGATTCTAAGCATGTATTCTGTTAATGTAGAGTCACTCAATTTTCAGATATTATTCAAGGTCAAGCTTCCTTTTCTTTATCCTAGTATCTTATAAAAACCATTCTTTTTAGGTAATTGTAGTAATGCTATACAGTTGTAAATGCAGCCTTATTTGACATGCAGAAATATTACCGATCCTGTGTAGCTATTCCCAGTTTCTCCCTGTGTGACATGCTGCAGAATTTAGTGTTTAACAGGATGGTGATGGTGATAACAGTCAAGATACAGAATATTTCCATCTTTCCCTTACATGCTGTTTATGGTTACGTCCATTTCCCTCTTGCCCCTACCACCTCCTTAAGCCATGGAGCTACTAATCTAATCTACATCCAAAAGTTTGTCATTTCAAGGATGTTATATAAATGGAATCCTTTTCAGTGTAACCTTTTGGGATTGGATATATTCACTCAGCATAATTCTCTGGAGATTCATCTAGGGTTGTTGTATCAATAGTTTTATTTTTATTGCTGAGAAGTAGTCCATGGTTTAACATTCACATATTGAAGTACATCTGCAGGGTTTTCAGTTTTTGATTATTACAGCTAAAACTCATAAACATTCCTGTCCAAGGTTTATGTGAACATAAGTTTTTTGTTTTTGTTTTTGCTCTGGGATAAATGCCCAGGTGTGCAATTTCTGGGTCATGTAGTATTGCATATTTAGTTTTTTTAAGAAGCTACTAAAGCGTTTTCCAGCATACCTATACTATTCTATGTTCCTACAGAGAATATTTGCAGTATCACACCAGCATTTGGTGGTGGTGGTGGTTTTTATTGTCCCCATTCTTAGAGGTGTATGGTGATATTTTGTAGTGGTTTTAATCATGTTCCCCTAATTGTTTTTTTTCCCCTAATTGTTTATAATAAACATCTCATGCATATTTGCCATCTCTGTGTCCTTTTTGGTGAGCTGTTTATTCATGTCTTTTGTCCATTTTTTTTTCTATTAACATTTATAGAATCTCCTTTATTTTTTTTTAATTGGAGTTCAATTTGCCAACATATAGCATAACACCCAGTGCTCATCCTATCAAGTGCCCCCCCTAGGTGTGCGTCACCCAGTCACCCCCACCCCCCGCCCACCTCTCTTTCCACCACCCCTTGTTCGTTTCCCAGAGTTAGGAGTCTCTCATGTTCTGTCTCCCTCTCTGATACTTCCCACTCATTTTCTCTCCTTTCCTCTTTATTCCCCTTCACTATTTTTTATATTCCCGAAATGAATGAGACCATATAATGTTTGTCCTTCTCTGATTGACTTATTTCACTCAGCATAATACCCTCCAGTTCCATCCACGTCGAAGCAAATGGTGGGTATTTGTCATTTCTAATGGCTGAATAATATTTCATTGTATACATAAATATACCATGTCTTCTTTATCCATTCATCTTTCGATGGACACCGAGGCTCCTTCCACAGTTTGGCTGTTGTGGACATTACTGCTAAAATATAAACGCTTGGTGTCCCAGCGTTTCACTGCATCTCTATCTTTGGGGTAAATCCCCAGCAGTGCAATTGCTGGGTCGTAGGGCAGATCTATTTTTAACTCTTTGAGGAACCTCCACACAGTTTTCCAGAGTGGCTGCACCAGTTCCCATTCCCACCAACAGTGTAAGAGGGCTCCCCTCTCTCCACATCCTCTCCAACATTTGTTGTTTCCTGTCTTGTGGCCAAGTTCAAAAAGGGTGTTGCCTGTGTTCTCCTCTAGGATTTTGATGGAATCTTGTCTCACATTTAGATATTTCATCCATTTTGAGTTTATCTTGGTGTATGGTGTAAGAGAGTGGTCCAGTTTCATTCTTCTGCATGTGGATGTCCAATTTTCCCAGCACCATTTATTGAAGAGACTGTCTTTTTTCCAGTGGATCGTCTTTCCTCCTTTATCGTATATTAGTTGACCATAAAGTTGAGGGTCCACTTCTGAATTCTCTATTCTGTTCCATTGATCTATGTGTCTGTTTTTGTGCCATTACCACACTGTCTTGATGACAACAGCTTTGTAGTACAACCTGAAATCTGGCATTGTGATGCCCCAGCTATGTTTGTGTTTTTTTTTTAATATTCCCCTGGCTATTTGGGGTCTTTTCTGATTCCACACAAATCTTAAGATGATTTGTTCCAACTCTCTGAAGAAAGTCCATGGTACTTTGATAGGGATTGCATTAAATGTGTAAATTGCCCTGGGTAACATTGGCATTTTCACAATATTAATTCTTCCAATCCATGCGCATGAAATATTTTTCCATCTCTTTGTGTCTTCCTCCATTTCTTTCAGAAGTGTTCTGTAAAAAAAAAAAAAAAAAAAAAAAAAAAAAGTGTTCTGTAGTTTTAGGGTATAGATCCTTTACCTCTTTGGTTAGGTTTTTTCCTAGGTATCCTATGCTTTTGGGTGCAATTGTAAATGGGATTGACTCCTTAATTTCTTTCTTCAGTCTCATTGTTATAGATATGCCACTGACTTCTGGGCATTGATTTTGTATCCTGCCACGCTGCCAAATTGCTGTATGAGTTCTAGCAATCTTGGGGTGGAGTCTTTTGGGTTTTCTATGTAGAGTATCATGTCATCTGTGAAGAGGGAGTTTGATTTCTTCTTTGCCAATTTGAATGCCTTTTATGTCTTTTTGTTGTCTGATTGCTGAGGCTAAGACTTCTAGTACTATGTTGAATAGCAGTGGTGAGAGTGGACATCCCTGTCTTGTTCCTGATATTAGGGGAAAGGCTCCCAGTGTTTTCCCATTGAGAATATTTGCTGTGGGCTTTTCATAGATGGCTTTTAATATGCTGAGGAATGTTCCCTCTATCCCTACACTCTGAAGAGTTTTGATCAGGAATGGATGCTATATTTTGTCAAATGCTTTCTCTGCTTCTATTCAAAGGATCCTATGGTTCTTGTTTTTTCTCTTGCTGATACGATGAATCACATTGATTGTTTTATGAGTATTGAACCAGCCTTGCATCCCGGGGATAAATCCCACTTGGTCATGGTGAATAATTTTCTTAATGTATTGATGGATCCTATCGGCTAGTATCTTGTTGAGAATTTTGGCATCCATGTTCATCAGGGATATTGGTCTATAATTCTCCTTTTTGGTGGGGTCTTTGTCTGATTTTGGAATTAAGGTGATGCTGGCCTCATAGAACGAGTCTGGAAGTACTCCATCTCTTTCTATCTTTCCAAACAGCTTTAGTAGAATAGGTATGGTTTCTTCTTTAAACGTTTGATAGAATTCCCCAGGGAAGCCATCTGGCCCTGGACTTTTGTATCTTGGGAGGTTTTTGATGACTGCTTCAATTTCCTCCCTGGTTATTGGCCTGTTCAGGTTTTCTGTTTCTTGCTGTTCCAGTTTTGGTAGTTTGTGGTTTTCCAGAAACGCGTCCATTTCTTCTAGATTGCCTAATTTATTGGCGTAAAGCTGTTCATAATAAGTTTTTAAGACCATTTGTATTTCCGTGATAATGGTGGTGATCTCTCCTTTCTCATTCATGATTTTATTAATTTGAGTCTTTTCTCTCTTTAATAAGGCTGGCTAATGGTTTATCTATCTTACTAATTCTCTCAAAGAACCAACTCCTGGTTTTCTTAATCTGTTCCACAGTTCTTCTGGTCTCTTGTTTCATTGAGTTCTGCTCAAATCTTTATTAACTCTCTTCTTCTACTGGGTGTAGGATCTATTTCCTGTTTTTTCTCCAGCTCCTTTAGGTGCAAGGTTAACTTTTGTATTTGAGTTCTTTCCAGTTTTTGGATGGATGCTTATATTGTGATGTATTTCCCCCTCAGGACTGCTTTTGCTGTATCACAAAGATTTTGAACAGTTGTATCTTCATTCTCATTAGTTTCCATGAATCTTTTTAAATTCTTCTCTAATTTCCTGATTGACCCTTTCATCTTTTAGCAGGATGGTCCTTAACCTTCACGTGTTTAAAATCCTTCCAAACTTCTTCTTGTGATTTAGTTCTGATTTCAAGGCATTATGGTCTGAAAATATGCAGGGGACGATCCCAATCTTTTGGTATCAGTTAAGACCTGATTTGTGACCCAGTATGTGGTCTATTCTGGAGAAAGTTCCATGTGCACTTGAGAAGAATGTGTATTCAGTTGCGTTTGGATGTTAAAGTTCTGTAAATATCTGTGAAGTCCATCTGGTCCAGTGTATCATTTAAAGCTCTTGTTTCTTTGGAGATGTGCTTAGAAGACCTGTTGATTGTACAAAGTGCTACATTCAAGTCATCAAGTATAAGTGTATTATTATCTAAGTATGTCTTAACTTTGGTTATTAATTGATTGATATACTTGACAGCTCCCACATTCACGGCATAAATATTCATGATTGTTAGGTCCTCTTGTTGGATAGATCCTTTAAGTATGATATAGTGTCCCTCTTCATTTCTTACTACGGTCTTTGGGATAAACTTTAATTTATCTGATATAAGGATGGCTACCCCTGCTTTCTTTTGAGGACCATTTGAATGGTAAATGGTCCTCCAACCTTTTATTTTCAGGCTGTAGGTGTCCTTATGTCTAAAATGAGTCTCTTGTAGACAGCAAATAGATGGGTCCTGCCTTTTTATCCAGTCTGAAACCCTGCACCTTTTGATGGGGTCATTAAGCCCGTTCACGTTCAGAGTTACTATTGAGAGATATGAATTTAGTATCATAATACCTATTCAGTCCCTGTTTTTGTGGATTGTTTGCCTATCTTGGAAGCTCTTTATCTCTCCTTCCATTCTGAGTGAGAGCCTTGCTGGATAGAGTATTCTTGGCTGCATGTTCTTCTCATTTAGGACCCTGAATATATATTGCCAGCCCTCTCTGGCCTGCCAGGTCTCTGTGGAGAGGTCTGCTGTTAATCTAATATTTCTCCCCATAAAAGTTAGAGATTTCTTGTCTCTTGCTGCTTTAAGGATCTTC